ATTAATTATATAATAATATTTTATATTATATAAATTTATGTTGGAAAATATGAAATAATAGAAGAATAAAAAAATTATTTTGAGGTATAATTAGGAATGGCAATGGGTTTCCACGGGGGTGCGGATCCTCTCCCCATCCTCGCTAATGGCAGGTACGAGAATTTTCACAGGAATTTTTGGTGGAGGTTCAAAAATAACCTTCGTCTCCATCTTCATCTCCGCAGAGAATAATAGGTCTCCGTGGATATTCAGAGTCCCCGCCAATAAAACTATCACCTGCTCCACTGCTTATTAATCAAAATTAAACTCAACATGAGTCTGTTTAGATTCCACTAGTTTTCACATTTATCAAATAAAACTAGGCCAAATAATCATATAAAGTACAAATTTGAAACAAGACAAATAAGCAGTAAATATACACAGTCAATATATACTTGTCAAGTAAGTCCAGGAAATCAGCAACAAGTTCATAAAGAAAAAAGGCATAAATTGCCATATAAGTCCAACAAATCTAGCAAAAGATTCATAAAAAAAAAAAAAAAAAGGCATAAACTATCATTGTCATCAACAAAGTTCATAGAAAAAAAATGCATAAACTATGGTCATACATGTCCAGCAATAGGTTCATTAAGAAAAAAGGCATATTAAGAAAAAAGGCATAAAAGAAATGAGTTACTGATAGTTAGTTGAGAGATTGGAGAAGAGTTATCGAGTTTGAGTGTGAGTGAGAAATAGGAGAAGATTAGCGTTGTAGTGGTTGCATAATGGGTAGTGACAATGAGAGCTTGGAGGGAATCACAGATGAGGATTGAAGAGTAGAAATAGAGTTACAGCGCAGAGCCACAGAGGAGACTAGATAGGAGGAATCGCAAATCTAAAATTGAGATCTTTGGATAGTCCTTGTAGGGTTACCAATGCAAATTTGGTTGGGCAATTAAGTTTAGGAAGACCAGATTGACAAAAAGAATAGATTGGACTTGACAATTGGATTTAGGAAATTGAAAAAAGATTGAGTTGTAAAATTTAGATTGTATTAGTATTGGGTTAGCTAATTAAGTTGAGTAAATAAAAATTAATTGTTAATATATTTACAAAAATATATATAAAAATAAATTTATATATTTTTTATTTTATATGGATCTCCACGGTTTTCCAT